TGAAAGAGGTAGAGAGACAGAGAGAGAGGGAGAAAGAGAGAGAGAGAGATGAGAGAGAAAGAGAGAGATGGGAGAAAAAGTGAGAGATGAAAGAGAAAGAGATAGTGAGAGAAAATGATGCGAACATGACTAAATGTTTTGAGGAAAAGTGGAGAACCAAAGCAAAGAGATCCATCCTCCTTGACAAAAGTACCAGCAAACGTGCAGGTGGACCGTTTTTCTTAGTCTCTTAACAAGCCAGTGGAATGATAGTACAAGCACATGTCTAATACATGAAAAACAGTGTATTTTACAAATGATGACTTGATAACTGAGAAGTCGCTTTGTATAATTGATCACACAGAATATCCAGATGGGCTGTCTGTTACTCCTAATCTGATTATAGCTCAGCCTTTCAAGACTTTTAAGACACCAATGGCAATGTCATCACAGATTTTGAGATGTTAACAAAATAACACCTCTTTTCATTTTAGTACAATGAAACTGACATACACAACATTCAGCACAGAAGAAAAAAAGATTTTTCCTTTTCTTTTGCTAAGACCATTACTCTTACGTGTTAACAAATGTACATGTAGTTCTTGTGTGGATGTACAATCAAAATTTGTTCAGGGATTTTATATTTCTGGCAAAATTTGGCATAAGAAATTTATTTAAGAAACACTGTAATTATCACCTAATAGAAACATGATACACTGTTTCTCTATTGTATCATATAAAAACTGTTTTAATTTATAGATTTGATACTTGTGACATAGAAATATAAAGTAGAATCCAGTCACATGTGATGAAAAATGATATGAAGATGTGCAGGTAGTTCAGTAGATAAGTAAATTTTCAAAAAAGAAGATTAAACTGGTACTGAAATCAATTTTTGTAAGCTCAGTAGACCAATAGAAATGTACACATCTGTGCTTTTCCATCCCAAAAAGGATGGTTTTAGTTCAAGTTCTATTCTGTTTATGCGTTAGCATGTGCACGCCCGTAAAAGGGCGACTGGCTGGAATGCTTCCTAAGGAAGTAAAGAATATGCACTGTAGTGTTCAGAATCGTAGCAGAATCCAGTGACCGGGGTTATAATACTGTAAGCGGTCCGGTCTGGTACGTTGTAAGTGGCAAATGGTAATAATAAGAAAGTTATTATTATTATTATTATTATTATCTGCATAAGAAAAATAAAACATAATACAGGACAGTATAGTCAGTGAAACAAATAATCATTAAAATTGTTTGGAAATGTAAAATCTGTAATTTTTGTCCGACAAATCGTCGCTGTTTTCACGAAGTGACGGTAGTGAAAAAAAATTGCATTCACTTTGCGTGACGATTTTCCTCACTACCATCACTTCGTGAAAACAAGGACGAAATGTATAAAACTGAGTGTGTGCCATATATGCTACATGATGTACTGCACTCTTTAAACAATGCTCCTTTGCATCGTGTTTCCATTTTTATGTATGCTTGTCTGCTTGAATTTCTCATTTTCAGCTCAAGTTACTGTCACTCCCAAATTGTTCATGTTTGTTCATGGTGTTGTGTTGAAACCAGGTGTTTGTAGTCAGCAGTTATATGCCTCCTGAGTCTGTAATTTAATACAAGCATTTTACTTTAACCTTTACTCATACATGAATGGTATATGCAGCTAGTCTCAAATTGTGTGTTTGGAGCCAGTTCTCACTCACTTTGAAAGTGGTCTTAGTTAGACCGCTCCAGAGGAACGGGTCTTGAGGAACGGTTTGCGAGCGTTCACACTCCGAGCAGTTTTTTATGGCTCAAACTGTCCACGAGTGAAAGTAGTCTTGTTGCTATGGCAGCTCAGGTCAGCAGGTCAATTTTTTCGTGCGCGGAATACAAACCGTATGTACCGTACTACATGTTTCGCACGGAACGTCACTAGCTCACTTCCGCTCAAAGTACGCTTCCGTTCACATTGCACGTTAGAGCGGTCCAAACCGCTCTTAATAAGACCCGTTCCTCAAGACCACCTCCAGAGGTGGTCTTCTGGAGCGGTCCAGAAGTCCACTTCTTGGACCACTTTGACCGTTCTCACTCACCTAAAAACCGCTCCTGAGGAACGGGTCTTAGTTAGACCGCTCCAACGAAGTGAATGAGAATGGGGTCTTATACTTCAATACACAGTTAATACCCTTCTGGCTCTGAACAGACAAAATGTTCTTATTGTTCTGAGAAGGAAAAGAAAAAAATAAGTAGGAATGGATGAGAAGTGCTGACATTATTCATTTCCCTGTGAAATACAAGTATCAAGAAATTTTGTTTTCACTCAATTTAAGGGGAATGCTCTGACACAATTTGAATGTGACTTTCAAAATATGACCTTACTATTAATACAAAGCAAAATTACCACAAGGAACATTTAAAGAATAGATTTACAAAATTGCATGGATTCTAATTGTAAATGTAATACATGTACATTGTGAATAATACAATACAAGAGGTGATGTATTTGGATAATATCATACTTTTCATTACATACATGTATAACAAACCAAGATACACAACCCAGACCAGGGTCTCTGGAAGATATACATTAAGAAACCATATAGCATTTTCAACAGGTTGAATGTTTAAATATAATTATCGGCATAATATGAAATATATTATCAAAAACTAAGAATGCAAATATATCTGAGAAAAGTTGAATTCATATATAACAAACTGGTTTAGGAGGACTGTATGGAGAAATTAGCTTGGTGAACTGCAAATATGAAGTACAATAGTACATGTAGAGCGATATTTTCACTGCGCTAGAATTATCCAAATATATCTTGGATGGTTTCTGACTGATTAAACATGCCTCTGGATTTTATTGAGTGAGTAAACTAAAAAGGGAACAGCACACACATGCTCATATCTCTAAGTAACTCAATTAGTTTGATTTATGAGGCCTTGCTACCGATATCTTGCCCTGGTTCATATTTGATGAATTGGTACTCTTGAGATTTGTTTACATATGGAATTGACTCTGACACAAGCTGTACATGGCAGGGTGTCAACTGCTTGAAGGCTTCGAAGGATTAAAATGATCAGTTGGCACAAATCAGGGTTTACATGATATTCTCCCGCAGCGAGAGCCAAAAGGGCATTAATTCAGTATTATGGGATGTACGTCTCTACTCCATTTGTTGCCCAGTAGTAGACACATTATTTTACTTTTATTTCATTGGGTCCATGGCTTTGCTCCACAGTTTAGTCTCACTTTGATGAATCATAACATTCAATCTAGATATTTACATACTCAAAATTCTGGATTCTTTTTTTTTTCCTTCTATAATAATAGAATCATCTTTATTCAATATTGTTCTTGACTTTACAAAAACATATCAAAACATATGTAGACATACAGTATACATACATAAATATAAACAATAGAACTGATTACACAGGAAATTCTGGATTCTTGTTCTTCCTTAGCTCAATACCAAGTGGGAAGAGAGTTCATTTGCTCATGCAAGGCCTTCGCTGTGGAAACTCTCACGCGGGAGATTTGTTATAGCAAATCAAATGAAGTAAAACATATATCTGTTTGATTTGGCAAATAATCAGATTAATCATTCTCTTTCATTTTATATGCTCTATCTTACTCCTGATCTTTTGATTATAATGCAGATGCTTTAATCTGTGATTTCATATTTCCACAAGTGCACCTTCAGCATTTGATTTTCAAGTGGCTTTGGCACCTTACAAATCTCACCGTCTTTGCTCATTTTCCCCCTTTGTCACTAATACTTTTTTGTCTTTCTATGTACTATGTATTCCTTTGTATTTTATATTGTACATTATTTTGTAATTGCATTTTGTTTGTTTAACTGGAATGTGGAAAACAAATGAAAATGGATGAAATGAAATGAAAGATATCTTCTGCTGAGAACAAGAATAGCATTAACTGTAATTCAAAGTGAATGTCTTTGTGGCTGCCAGCTTAAATGAAACGTCACATTTGAACAGTTGGCACACATGTTTTGAAGATAATTGTGATTGAGTAAACGAAAAATGATTAGGGAACTTAACATAAAAGCTATCACAGTATGTCACACTTGATAGGCAGAAATGTTTGTGAATGCGATGTATGGCCTTTGTGGCATTTGACAGATGTCAAGCTAATTGGTCAAATAAAAAATGCATTTATCCTGATGCATGTATAAAATTATGAGGGTGCATTCCTTCAGTGATGAGAGAAAAGAATGAGTTTCGGCTTGTTCAGATATGATGTAGTATAAACCGTGTTAGGTGTTGTGACAACTGCATGCAACAAAGCCGGACTAAATTATTCATACCCCTTGTAAATTTAATGTGTTTTTTTGTAACTTAGGAATGAAGAGTGAACTGCATGGTTGAATTAGTGCCTTTGTTGGATACCTTTAGTCGAAATCTTAAATATGTTACATTCTCAAGAAACATTAATCAGGGAAAATCTTCTTTTTTTTAAATACATAAAAAATATCAAAACTTGGTAAGGTTATGAATTATTTAGTTGTTTGCTGTATATTCGCTTGATAGCTCTGTATTATAAGATACAGAAATGTGAAGCGCAATTCCTTTTAATGTCATCATTAAAGAAAAACAGCATTTAACCACCTTATTTCTGAATGGGGCTTAAATTGTATACTCTCATCCCCAAAACAAACCATTTACGTAAAACTTTTCTTAGATTTCTTGTTGAATTTCTTTCCCATCATATTTTGTTTTTCTTATAAATATATTCCTGCTTTCCTTGTATATTCCTTTGTTTCCCTCTCTGCTGTGTGCCATTCCTTCTGTCAATCTGTCCTGCTCCTATATTTTTACAATTCTTCATCATCTTCCATTCTTCTTCCCGTCTTTCTCTTGCCTTTTTTTTTTTTTTTACTTTCATTGTCACATGATGAAAATTCTTCTTTGCTTCTACGTTCATTCTCTTGTTTAATCTATTTCTTTGTGTTGTTTTTTCTCTTTCATATTGCTGATCATTTTATGGGATGTCACCTTCACACACTCAACAGAATACACAGTGAGTATATTCCTTGTTTTTATAGTGATGATTATTTTTAAATGAAAGTGATTACATTTCTCAAAGTAAATATTGTCCAATTAGAGCAAAAATTTACTTTATGGCTCCTAGCAAATAATAAGATCCTTGTGCAGTAACTCATTTTTTACTCCTCAGGGTGAATTTCATTTCTGTGCATATTAAATATTGGAATAAACAATGCAAAAATGGGAATGATAATCAATAAAAATGAAACTGCTCTGGAGTTATGATTACTTAAAGGGATCCGGTAACTTTGTCTTAGATCCTTTAGAAATAATCCTTGATTTAGCTCATACTGCAATGATAATTATAAACCTTAAGTTCAGTCAGGAACTCCATGACTTTTACACGCTGATCGCTGTCTGATTATCAAGATATTAATGATTGGAATTACAAATTTTGACAACCGCTCGCAGAACGGTTTTCATAACACTACAGTCTATTGGGGGAAAATGAGTATGGTAAAACCGGTCACTTAAAGATTTTTACTTTTTTGAGGCACTTCTTGATCATTTTGAAGCGCGATTTTTTTAGGGCTTCAATATTACACCATATCACAGACACTGGTAACATGTAGGACCGTGTATCTCAGATTTAACATTGTTAAACGATCCCTTTAAGCATTTTAATGTCATAATGTCTTTAATGCCTCAGCTGTTAAGATGTATAATGGGAGAGTGTTAGAGCCATGGCTGGTGAATCAATCTAAATGTCACTCTCTTCTTAGCTGTCAAACGTGATGTGTCTGTCTATAGATTATCTGTTCAAGATGGGTTTGTTTTCATCATCAGTCTCAGACTGCTGTCTGGTATTCTACTCAATACCTGTTGGTACAAAATACAACCATTATAGTATAGGCTGTCTGTTGAGGCGGCAAATATTTCCTCAGATATAAGCTATAGTATGGCGATCAACCTCTTACAATCGTCAGGAATACTAAAATACTTGATGCAGTCTGCAGTATATGGGACAACGCACCTTGGACTTGCCCATTTAATGGATGACTTATCATCCTTCTGGCTCTTGGCGGACTAATTGTTCTGCTGAAATAAAGATGTTTAGTAGCTGTCACTTCTCAATACATTTGGAAGAATGTTAAATGGGTAGCCTGTTTGGGATCCAAGAATAGTTGAATTGGGAGGCATTCATTTTTTCATAGGTTTGTAATTCCAAAACACAAGTTTCACATACCAGGGGGTTCATTATAACTTTGAAAATGAAATGTGGGTCTTAATTCCGAAAATGAAACAAGGCTCATTATTCTGACGGTTTGTAATTCTATTTAAAAAAATGACATTTGCAGAATTATGACAACTATTTAATTTACGGAATTACAAACCATATTTTATTTTTGGAACCTTCAGGAATTATGTTGAATTGTATTATGTGGCAATGGGAAAGGGCCTTGACCGGGGATGCAAATGTGTATCTTGTTTTGGAAATGATATATCTTTCAGGAATCTATAAATAATGTACTAAATCAGAATCTATCTCAAGGGCACTTTATGTGTACTATGGGAAAATGCATAAAAAGCAGGTCTAGGGGTTTGTTGTTTCTCAGTAGAAAGACATTCTGTTCTTTATGTTTAAACTTAAAGTGTTCCAATCAACAACAAATTATTCCACATGTTAAGAACTCAGTGTCGCTATACTGTATATTCAACATATGGGTTTAAAATATTTCTTGTAGAAAGATATATTGCAAGTTTAAATACGCTCTCCTTTAGGTAGAGCAGGTTTGAAGTTAGGAATTTGGTTAGTGTAGGAAATTGACCACCGAGTGATTCCTTGTAACTTGTGTCATAGACCATATTTAACGCAGTGCATATTAATACTTCAGTATTTGTTTTCGTATTGCTACCTGTATGTATTTGGAATTCGGTATATTTTGAAATTCCCAGCATACATTTTGAATATTAAAATAACGAGATACTACTTCCTTGATTAGAAAGTCAGTGATTGACAGTATCATAGATTATCAGTCAATTTGCAGGATGACAGGTGTTCTAAGATAGCTTTTATCTTATTCTTATCATGTCACCGTCATGCTAGCCTCCCTTCTTGCAGATGAAACTCCAAAATGCCAATTACTCTGTTGCTTGATATCAAATCGCTTCGTCAAAAAAAAAAAAATGAATAAGATTAAAGAGCACTGACCAATAGTTCATTATCCAACCGTATAAGAGCTGTTCCGAATTCTAATTAGAGTTAAGCCAATTGGAAGTAGAAAAGGAGGGAGGGGAAGCAAGATCAAAGTATAGAGAAAAATGGAAAGTATACATGTACTTCAAGGAACAAATTGATTGTCACCGTAATCCATATTTTCTGGACTTCTTGTAAATTGAGAAGGTATTTCTTTTTATTAGCATTTGCAGAAAATGGGCAGCGTAACTGTAAACGTTTCATTTCCAAAAATGTTGAAACACAGATGACACATTTCCAGATGTTTTCATGCAACTTGGGTTTAGTATCCTACATGAAAAATTATTAACTTTTCGACGGCCTCAGATTATATTCATGGGAAGGATGTCTTTCATTTCATTGTGAAAATAAAAGGACTCTGTTCTAAATATTAACAGAGAGCCTGTCAGATGGTGTGGTTTTTTTTTTTGTGTGTGTTGTGTCTTCCTCAGCCTATGATTTAAATAAGATTTGGCTTTGCAGCTTTATAAGGATGAAAAGGTATTGTATTAATCATCTTGGATGACAGGTTATTTTCTGATTACTTTTAGAAGATCTTTTTAGATTTGCAATATTTACAGACTTAAAGGTACAAATTTAAAAAGAATTACATCCAAAATACTAATCCAGTAGTACCCGTACATGATCAAAATCTAAATGATATGTGAAATGCTGCCGTCATCTTTAAAGATTAATTTTGAATTTTTATCTGAAATGTATTTTTAAAACACCTTCCAACAACAAAATGTCTGTCCAAGGGAAGCACACAAATTCTCTTAACCCATATAAATATTACTTCAAATTTGAAACTTTAAATTTCTAATATGCCTTTTTGCAGTTTAAGGTAATATTTATGCCTAGCTACATGTAATTGCTGGTAGTTTTTGCTCGAAAACTTTGAATATCATTTGTGAAGGTGGTGCATCTGTTTTGCATGTTTTCACAGACACAATAAAATCAGCACAGATGTTTTAGCAAGAATAATTCCACATGACCTTGTATGAATTTTGTTATAACATCCTTTGCTTATGAATAAAAATGGATACTGGACAACCAATGATAAATCAATGAAAAACCTATCAACCAGTATCAAGCAATTAAAAGTTGATTTTTAGTTCCTTTAATAGTGGATTTTGTGTTGAAAATATGGTATATTGCTATATAAACAAACCGGCCCGAATTCACAAAGGAGGTTTGTCGACAAACCTACATGTAGGTTAATGTGCGTCATATGACACGTTTTGACGCGTTTCAAACCAAGGTTTGTACATGTACTTCTGCAATTGCAGAACTGATTATTATAAAATGGCAAAAAGGATTCATCACATCACCTTTAACATCCAAAGTGCATTAAGCGATGATGGAAGATTCAGTGGGGCAAAGTTTGCCTGAGAGTGTTATGAAATATGTTACCATGGCAACGGATGCCTTGCAAACACTGCGGAGGATGATTGATAATGTCCATCATCCATCTCGATGCTGGCTTAGTTGATCGATCTCACCAAAACGGAGAAGTTTTCCACTTTACTTTACTGAGTTCACGATGGAACTTAATTAGATATATATCACATTTTAAAAGCAAGGATGGATGATAGGTGCCATGGATCTGTCATTTCTATCATGTATAATTCATATCAAATTCAGTATCGCTTGACAGGAGCGACCAATGTAATAATAATGATACATCAATCATTTAGAGTCGCTAAAAACAAGAAGTACCATAACACTTTAATAGGTATAGAATATGAAGGGAAACATGAAATACATAGACTCATAAAAACAGGAAAATCATACTAATTTACTGAGACAAGAAGAATGTTTTTTTTTAATGAGGCAGAACATGTTAATTCTCTGATAGAAAGTACAGAATGATGGAATGTAGTGAAAATCAAAGAAAAACAGACAGGAATGTCAGTGGCTTAGTTCTAAAAAGCTCCAAAAGATCTATGGAAAAGTAAAAAGAAGAGCACTAGTATAGGGGGAACAAATAAAATAGATAGGAAGTTTTGTGAAGTTTAACATCAACTAAAGCAAAACGAATAAAACCATCACATGAACAAACAAGTATTTTTCACACTACGGTGCCAATGCCAGCCGATGTGGGAAGTATGAGTGGCCTGATTGTGTTTAACTGAAATACATGCTTCCTTCACAAGTTTCAAATTAAAGCTTGTGGCTCTGCCCTGAAAGGGTTGATCTTAAAAAGCACTTAAGGCATTGTTTTGTTTGATTAAGCTAGACTTTCACCTTTGTACTTCAGAAAGATACACTCGTTATCTCTTATACTTGTCCACATTAATTGTAAACAGCTTAAAAATTTAAGCAGCAGGATTAATATCAATATCATCTTTTGGCATGGAAAAAGCGAAAAATTGTGATACACCTTATGCAGGCCTGTACAAAGCCTTTTGGAAAGGGGGTGCATTTTCATTCACTGAAAATATTATATTGGTGAAAATCTCTTTTCAAACATCAGGGGGACACTACACATCCCAAATTTCTCTTAAAAGTTAAGAAAAAAGTCATTTGCAATGCACCCATTGCCATTGTTTTTATGCCCCCCCCCCCCCTCCCCCAAAACCTTCCAACTACACTTCTATGTGCCTGTAGAGATCATTGTTGTGTGACCACTACTAATTGAATGGTAATATACAGTTAACAAAGTAGTTCATGCCCTTACCATTGATCTACATTTGCCACTCTCCACCCAGGTGTTAAATGGGTACCCGGTAGGATGCGAAAGCTAATGTGGTTAGATTAGCAAGTGTGCGCTTGTAAAAATGATGCCTGGCTGGAATGCTTACCAGGGAGTGGAGAATGTGCATACATTGTGTGCGGGTAAGCCTAAATCTGATGATTGGGGGTAATAATATATATATCTGTAAAGCGCTTTGATAGGGCCCTCCTGAAAAGCGCCATATAAGAAATAGTTATTATTATTATTACCAGGTTTTGTAATTGTTTAAGTATGACATATTAAAGAAAATTAATATTAAAGCTTACATCTAAAAGTATTAACCAAGGGCCCTAATTCAACCAGTCCACCTGTCATTCTTGAGTTATGAAAACACAAACAATATATAATTTGCAAGGGGTATGAATATTTTAGTTGTTAACTGTACATGTTACAGTATCAAATGGTGTTATGACAACCCTGTGCTTGCACAAGTAGAACTTAATCTGAAACCTAAGATCAACCTGATCTCCTGTGCTCTGATTGCCTTTCCTCTTCAATGATTTAACTCCATCCTAGCATCAAGTTTATTTTGTTGGTAATAGCAGAAATTATTGAACAGGACAGATGTTGTCATATATGAAACATAAATCAGCAACCCTCTGTAATTGGTTAGCTGTGCATGTTGCTCTGTTTTTTTCTCCAGAAAAACACCCATATTGTTTCTTATTTGTTGATAAATAAATAGGTCTGTTTCATGTCAGAACAGTGTAAAAAAAAAAACCACATCAAGTGATTTATTCAGAGTATAGGTGTAAGATAATAAGATTTGTTTATTTAAGATAAATGGGAAAATTTTATTGCATTTTAGCACAAAACTAAATAGAGCGCTACTTGCTTGGGAATATCACAGAGTTGACAATATCTGCTTGTTGTCCTGTGAGAAAAGCTGTCTACAGCACTATACAGTAGGCAGAAGACTTGATATGAAGGTTTCTGAAATAAACTAAAATTGTCATTAATCAGGAACATTATATTGTATTTGTACTGTAGGAAATTAGTAAGGGAAGATCTTGCTTTTTTTAGATGCCAGTAATGTTCCATACAGCTCTAGGTAAGTGTTTTATTACATACATGAACATGTATATCTGTTATGATGTACAAATGGAGGTCAAACTTTTTAAGGCATGGACCATCAACTGACCTGATTTTTAAGCAGGTATCCCTTAGAGCTAAGAGTTGTCCTGCTGGGAAACTTTTTTTTACTGAAGAAAGAGGTTATGGTTCATTACCATTTTTTTCCTCATCAATATTGAGTGGTCCTTATTTGACACTAATGGCAGTTTAATTTGAGATGAAAGCAGATTGATATAGATTCTGTGCTTGCTTGTCAGAATATACTTTGAAATGGTGTCAAGTTCACCATTTAGGGCTAATGTTAAATAAAAATAAAACTTTCAAAAAACGATTTCAGTCTTGAAATTAAAGAACTCAGTATATAATCTAAATAACATGATTAAACTTCCTAGAATTATTTGTACGATTCTGTGTGATAGGGACAACATGTTTTCTTTTTTCTTTTAATGTTTTAACCTTACTTGTGCAAAAATATGTATCTTAAAGATTTCTTTATGATATCAAGAGTATGATCGAAAATACCACAAATATATCCCATCAGAGAGTATAACAATAATAATTATGTAAATCATCTCCATATACAGCTAAATCTTCAATAGTCTAATCTGTTGGGACCACAAAAATTGTTTTGCATAGTCTGGTATATATATATATATTAAAAAAAATAATTGACTTAGTGAAAATTTCTTTTATGAGTTATGCAGAGTTAATTGTATAGACATTAGATATGAAATGGTGACTTTATGATTGGATGGTGTTAGAGAGCTTTTATATCTCTTACAATTTTGTACTTTCTATGAGAAAATTATTTGTCCATGCACTTGCATATATCTGATGAACAAAATAACACACGATGTATGTTTTTATTCAATGACTTCTTACAGTATTGATTCGCTTCCATATTTATCACATTGATTTCTGGGTTGCTGTACGTGACCTGAAATTCAATCTTGACATTGAATCAGATTTTTCTCCCTTTTCTGACAATATGTACAGAAAATTACCTCCTGTTTGCAGTATATCATTATTGTTGGAACATATGGACATTTATACTCTTTTCCATATAGTACTATAATATATTCCCAGATAGAGTGCACAAAAAAATCTATGAATACAATTAAAAATAGATATGTTCTTCATTCATTTTTAATATATTTGTGAAGTGCTTAGAGACTTTCCAGTATTGTGCACTATTAAACTATACTTTTGTATCTATATCTATCTATCTATCTCTTTCTCTTTCTCTTTATTCAATCTCTTTCTCTTTTGCTTTCTTTTTCTCTTTCTCTTTCACTTTCTCTTTCTCTTTCTCTCTCACTTTCTCTCTCTCTCTCTCTCTCTCTCTCTCTCTCTCTCTCTCTTTTCAAATACTTTGTTTTTGCATACTATTCCTCACCCTAAGCCATTGTAATTTTGCTGCTGTTTATTTTAAACCTCTATGCTTATATCCTTGAATTGTTCGTGGCAATATTTCTACAAGGATGTCTCTAGACAATGCATTTTATTTGCAATTGTCTCTCATCACCCGAGTGAAGCGTATTGGTGAATGTTTTCCTTCAATGCTGTAAAACACCTTATTGGTAATAGCAAAGGTGACCATCCTGTGGGGGATATGAGCACTATGAACACAAGACAAACAATTTGTTATCATAACTAAAAATGTTTTAATTTATCTGTCTTCTTTCTTGACAGTGTTCCTTTGTTCCGAAGTTTTCCATACATATCGATACAAGATACGAGAATAACTCAGGGACCACAGAAAATGTAAGTATTTGTTTATTTAAATTATGAGTGTTTATGTCAAATTTGTATATCCTGATTTATATCTATCATTTGTTATTGTTGTTTAAGAGTATTGTTGTTCCAAGTGCAATAAAAAATATCTCAGTACCGGGTACTTATATTTGATATTGTATCACCTATAACAAAAGAACATAACCTTAGAATGTGAAATATTTCTTTCATAAAACTGGTCTAAAATATGAATATAAAGTCAAGAAATAAGCAAAAAACATGATAACAATTCCAAGAATGATCATGGGGGCCGCCATTTGCTGTGAATGACATCACATTAGCAGAATATATGCGCAGAAATAGTACTCATCCCCTTTCATTATACTCATAAGAATGGTATAAACAGCCGTTTCAAGCGGATAATTGGACAAACATGAATGTAATGAGGTTTACTCAGGGAAGACGAGCCATGTGTGGGATAACACGTATCATCAGACCATGCATATTAGTACCAAAGCCTGTTTGCGCAATGTGCAGTATTCTTTTATCAAGCATGATGCATATGCAGTAAGCTCATCAATTTATATTAATTGGTGTAAATTTATGATGATTTATAATAAATTGAGCTATATTGAACATCAAATTATAGTAATGGGTTCAAATTTTGTGATGATGTTCAATAATATATTGAGCTTTGTAATCTAATACTTCTTTGTAGGCAGGAGCTAAGTATTGATGGATGGGTGGGTACAGTATGTTTAAAGATTTAACTTTGTTTGAAGTGGCTTGTTTCCACACTTTCCATACATGAAAATGAAGCGTTTGGTAAACTACTTTTCTTCTCTTTTCTGTGTGACGTGGGTGCATGTTCATCCTTTTACCACCAGCTGATATAAGATTACACTTATGTGTGTAGGGGGGGGGGGGGGGTTGTCATGTTTGAGAAAAGTGCAGAGAGCTGTGTGATGTGGGTGCACGACACCCTTTTACCACCAGCTGATTGAAGATTACACCTGTGTGTAGAAGGGGGGAGGGGGGTTGTTATGTTTGAGAAGAGTGCAGAGAGCTGTGTGATGTGGGTGCACGACCCCCTTTTACCACCAGCTGATACAAGATTACACTTGTGTGTAGGGGGTGGGGGGGAGGGGGGGTTGTCATGTTTGAGAAAAGTGCAGAGAGCTGTGTGATGTGGATGCATGTACACCCTTTTACCACCAGCTGATATATGATTACACCTGTGTGTTGGGGGGGGGGGGCGGGGGTAGTCATGTTTGAGAAGAGTGCAAAGAGCTGTGTAATGTGGGTACACCCTTTTACCACCAGCTCTGATATAATTGTAGCCCCAGGCAGTATGCAGGTGGGGTACTTTGGATTCAGCAGCTTCCTATTCTTGCGTGCGCTCCTACTGCCACATTCCTTGACGGATTTCTTTCAAATTTTGTACGTAGGTGTATCTTGGTATAATGTACAAGCCTATAGATTTTGGTGATGCTACCTCCAGTGTTCTGTCTTTTATAGTGTAAAAGTCCATATTATGGTGGTTGTCTTTTGTGTGCTCTGACTGCCACATTTCTGGACAGATTTCTTTCATTTTTTACAGAGATGCATTATACTCTAATCTACACACATATTGTTTAGGTAATGTTGCTTCTAGTCTAGACAATAGTCCGAGCCTCTAACGGTGACCTCTCTACGTCATCCTTTTGTTTCAGGGAGGGGAGAGGGGAACTTTGTCCCTCCTTCGAACATAAGGATGACACAAAATTGCTGCCACTGCCGGGGGATACATTCACATTGCGCAGCAATACAGATTGCGATATTTCTAGTTCTAATGTACCCAAGTAGGACAAGAACACCATATCAATTTACATATCTCATAAATCGATCTATAGCAAATTTTCTCACTATAAAAAGACTTGTCTATATGCACAGGGTAAGAGCACGGACAAATAATATTTACTTGAGTTTCGTATCCCAGTTTTTTATAGGTTTTTTTAACATGCCTGCATGTACCTTGTTATCTTGACATTGTTTGTAGATACATGAACACTGGAAAACACTCAGTTGGAACTCACAGAGGTTTATTTTTATATAAATAGTACATGCTCTTGCAAACAGCCTGCATTTATACAGTGTGGTAGTTCATGCATAAAAGGCTTTATAAGACTCTGCTTATATTCACTTGTATGCTCTAGCAAAGGACTGTAAAGTACATCTCACCTCCTGAGAGCCAATGTCAACATCCTTTGATACACTTTTATAGACAAAATACTGTAGTTTAGTAAAGTGTCCAATACTCTAGATTCCACAAAACTGTTTTAAATGACAGTGGGATGTGTTTTAGGCTTGCATTGACTTTACAGCTGTTAAAAGGGAGTGCGATGGCTTACTGGTAGAGTAGTGGTCTTGTAACTGGGAGGTCTCGGGTTCAAAACTAAGTCAATACCCTTGTGCCCTTTGTAAGGCATTAATCCTCATTACCTAGTTCCTTGGACAGGATTTAAAGCTGTCGGTCCCCTCGTCTTTTTTACTTACAAGCATACATATACTTTCTTAGCAGTCAGGTAAAACAATCATTGATCATCATGATTTTAGGGAATCACACATTTAGTACATTCTTTTGGTGTGTGGCTTACTGTACATTGTAGAATAAGACCACAGACTTTCCACTTTTTCATTTATTAACCCCCCCCCCCCCCCCCTTCAAAGGTGTTTTTATACTCCCTGTGACACTCTGTTAGTGGTACGCTCGGTTAAACAAGCATGAAATGAGGTTCATCATACATGTGTTAGCAGCCATTAAATAGAAGCGTCCTATTTCGTTCATCCATGCTTTGATCTTAATACAGCTGAGATGTACATTTTTAGATAAATTATATGTAAATTAGAGATTGTTTAGGGGGTTTAGGGAGTATTTTAATACTAATAAGATTTTAAAAAAACAAGGGGGGATGGTAAAGCATCAAGGAATAAAGACCGAAAGATTGTTCTGATGGGTTGCGACCTTAATTATCATGCATACTCACGTCCTCAGTGAGACTGAGAGTATACAATAATGTAAAAAGACCTCTTTTTCCCCCACATCTTTGCACTTTTTGTAGTGGTTTTACGTTCCCTCAACCATGCAACTTTATTCACGAACTACATATGCAGTTTAATTAAATTGCAAATACCTACTGCTTGGTACTAATTTAGACCCTATTACGATTCTGTCCTTTCAAAGCTGTAGACCTATCATTAACAGGTCTTTTTCTTAATGTAATCAAATATGCGGAAACATTTGTTAAGTGCCTTGTTACAAATTATTTAATCACCTTTTACAACTAATTGTATTTCAATAGTCAGAATGGCCCTACTTAGCAACGATTAATGAATTCAATTTGTATTCTGAATATTAAAATACAATTATGTGTAACAAATGGATGAACTTATTTGTAATGAGGCACTTAACAGAGATTTGTTCATTCAATTTGATTATGAAAATTGTCTATTTCAGAAAAAATTCTTACCAGTAGTCCTATGTTCCATTGGCCCAGATGTTCCATCATAAGTCTACATCCTTTTGGTAGTATCTCACCAGACTGATGAAAAGCCCTATTAATATTTGGAACAGGAAACAGAGCATTGTGGAACTATTGATGGAATATTTTGTATTAGAAGAGTAACTTCACATCTTATGCAGATGACTTTGTACGATATGCATTTAAGTGAAGTATATATACTTTTCACCGTACTGAAGGTTTAGAATAGATTCTTTTTAATGAACAAGTCATATTTTACTCATCAGCCTCTCCCATGTCTTTGTTAAATAGTCAACAAACATTAATTGTTTAATGTGAGCAAACTTTATGTTCAAATGGAATAACATACAATAAATTTGAAGAAGCAAGATCTCAAAGACTTAAAAAAAAGGAAAATAACCCTAGGCAGTTTTAATAAGCAAACATGATAGTGACAATTTACATAATATGAACATGATTATTATAGGTAGTACAATAAGCTGTTGAAATTACCCTAAGTTTCTTTTTATTTGAGTATTTGCATTTGTGTCAAAATTATAAAAAATATATAAGAAATGTACATTCAATTCACTCATAAATATATTGATCCATTAGAGTAGTGACAACTGAAAAGAAAGGAGCTACATGGAATAAATGAGAAAATGAGCTTCAAGCTGAGAAAGAACCTGATAGGATTCATGTAGAGCGGTGAGAAGTTTAACTCTTATCCTGCCACAGGGCTAATCCCCATTGTGCCAAGCCACAAATCCCCCCAGTGCCAAAGTTATACGAGATAATCAGATTAACGCGATGGTACTAACAATAGCGCGTGCAAAACACTAGGCACAGTCCAATGGGCATGAACAATAACTGCTATTTACATATGCATGCAATCATGCAAGAAGCAGAGAAACAGTAGCTTGCTCGCGTGTACAAAGCACTATAACAATAGCGTGCATGCAGCCTTATGGCAGGCTATGAGTTAACAGTGTGTGGGAAGTGAAGATTAATGAGAGAAGGAGCAGAGGGAGATCATGATGTTGGATATATAGATAGTCAAAGGGCAAGAAAACCTTTGGTATAACTCAATTATTCATACCCCTTGTATATTTGATGTTTTTTTTGTGTTTTTCATGACTCAAGAATGAAAGGTGGACTGGGCCTTTGAATATTGATTCATGTAATCTTTAAAGATAAACTTGAGTTCTGGTAAAAAAAGAAAATGAATTCTCACAGAATCTAACGAAACTTACACTGAATGTTCAAGATTACAAATAAATGTCATGTGCCAAACAATTTTGGAAGAAAATGTATACTGGCTGAGTAATGAGCATAGAAAGATAAGGACATCGGGGTAGTACTAGCCCCGACACCATGTGTGTTGTCCCATATACATCTATCTGTGTAAGTGATTGTTACTTTACCAAGACTCTGCCAAATTTATGATGATTTTGATGACTCTAGAACCTTGCATTACACACCATTACTTACATGCTATAATGATCAACTTTTCTGATTCATTCCACACCT